CTATATGGTCAAAGGGGGAAATGTGAAAAATATCATTATTCATCAAACAACAGTTATACATCTATTAAAGACACACAGAATTCAGTTCTTAGATAAACTCATGATAATCTTCAGCATGTGTATCTAGATATGATCGCAATTATGAAATTCCACCAAAAAGTAATGCAATTGTGTTAATATTACAACAGAATATCTATGGTCAAGAAGAATGCATGTGACCATTTCACCATTCCTTACAAAGCTACTCTATGTGTATTTTTGCAATCTAGTAGCCAAGAGGCTGTTTCTCAACCTTGGCAACTTTGAGGTGTATGAAGTTCAACTTACAGAATACCCATATCCTCCAAACCCCATAATTCTATGAGATATTGGCTGGAGATGTGAACTCATGAATATTTTAAAAAAAATAGAAAAAACAAATTCATCAAAAATAAACCCATTTCAGAAACATCAGGTAAAAAGAAGGGAGGAGGTATCTGCTTTTATATTAACAATTGAAGGTGTAAAAACGCCACTATACTAAAGAAATTCTGTGATGTGGACTTAGAGACACTGTGCATTAATTACATACTCTTCTATTCCCCCCGTGAGTTCTGTTCATTTATTCAGATTAAAAGGGCAGGCAGAATTGCAGAAATATCAAGTAAAAAGATGGGAGAGGGTATCTGTTTTTATATTAACAACTAATGGTGTAAAAATATCACTACACGAAATAAATTTTGTGATGTGAACTTAGGGGCATTATTCATTAATTTTTACTTTTACTCCCCATGAGGGTGCTCATCATTCACATTAGCTGCAGTATATATTCCACCTCAAGCTTGCATAAACAAGGCATTGCAAACCTTAGCTGACCAAATCCTGTGGGCTGAACAGAGATATCCAGACTCCCTACTCATTGTACTAGGAGATTTTAACAGTACTAACCTAAGCCGAGAGCTGCCAAGATACACTCAGCATGTCAGCTGTCTCACTAGAGACAAGAATATTTTAGACCACTGCTACCAAACACCAAAAGATGCCTATTGCTCTCTACCAAGAGCAGCTATGGGACACTCTGATCACTGTATGATTCACCTGGTACCTGTTTATAGACAGAGACTTAAAATCATAAAACCAATAGTTAAAACAGTGAGTCTTGGACTGAAAAGGCAAAGTTAAAGCTACAGGCTTGCCTCGACTGCACAGACTGGAGCATTTTTGAAGTTGCCTCAGGGGGCTTGGATGAACTCATTGACACTGTGACATGATATGTTAGCTGTCGTGAAGATGTATGTTTGCCAATCAAAACCTTATTCATCTACAGTTATAATAAACCTTGGTTCACAGCTAAGCTTAAACAGCTACTTCATGCTAAAGAGGAAGCCTACAGGAAAGGATATAAAATGCTATATAGTCAGGCCAAGGGAGATAAGGGCAGCAAAGAGAAGCTACTCTGAAAAGCTGAGGAATCAGAGGTCAACAAATGAACCCAGCAAATGTATGGAAAAGCCTGAAAAATATCACTGGCTACAGCAAACCTCCATCCCTTACTGAAGGGAATCGGCAATTGGCAGATGACCTGAATGTCTTCTACTGTAGGTGTCATGTGTCTGATTAACTTACAAGGACTTTCAGGCATATTTTTCCCCTAAAAGCATCTATTAAGGTTACAGAGATGTCAGTACGGCATGGTGGAAATGCTTAGATCTGAGATTATTTTCCGTTGCACATACATTCCAGGCATTTTTCCCTCCCCTATTTTGGGGTCATGGTTCACATCTTCCAATTAACTTGGAAGATGTGATTTACTTCCGGTTTCTTTTTCCCTGGCTTTCCTTATTCTCCTCCCCTTTCACTGTTGCCTGATTTAACTATAAAAATACCAGACAGTTCTGCATATTGTCAAAGCAAGAATATACAGTATTTGCAGCGTTGACAGTAGGTTTGAGAGGAAACCACTATCAACTATCATTACCCTCTTCATCTTAGATACAACAACAGCCAAGTCTCCTACACTTGATTCTATCCCTCTGGCCCCCCACCTCTGGTGATCGCAGAAAATATGTGTAAGGTCTATTTCACAGACAAAAGTCTGGAAAAGCATCTGGCCCAGACAGAGTAAATCCTTCTTGCTTGAAAATTGTTTAGAATTTGTGTGGTTTTTTAAATGATCTATTCGCAAAATTATAAATCCACTTGAAATTAGAATACAGAATTCCATTGGCTTGAATCTTTGTGTTTCCACGAATGAAGTGTTTTAATTCTGTCCATAAGAAGCTCCTGCAAATAAATGGACAAGGAGTTCCTTAGAAATTTCCTTGTTGTTGGAAGATGGTCCTGTGAGCTGTAGAGGAGCAAAGAAAGTGACTAAAACCAACCCTCTTTTTAACCCCAGGAGCCTCAGTTCAATCAGATTATTTTCCTGAATAAAAAGGAACTACTTATTTCTGAAGAGTTAAATCTGAATCCAGGTCATTGGGGAACTTTTCTTAGGAGAGTTCATGGGATTGTGATTTCTCATTCATTCCCTAGTAGAGATTAGCAGCAGATGTACTCTCATATGTTGGCCTATGGTTAAGTGCCAAAATAGCAGCAGAGTCTGAGTTAAATCTGTAGGAATCTAATAACTGCCCATCACCAGATCCTGAAATTATCCCATATATTTTCCTCTGGACCAGATATTTTCTAGTACAGTGATGGCAAACCTTTTAGAGGCCGAGTGCCCAAATTGCAACCCAAAACCCACTTATTTATTGCCGGGTGCCAGGTGGGCATGGCCCACTGGGTGAACATGGCTGTGGTGGTCATGGCAGACTGGGTGGGTGTGGCCAAGGTGGGCGTGGTCACCTTGATGTTGCTCATGGGGAGAGACGCTTGTGGGGGCCGGGCAGGTTTGGGGGAGATCCAGGGGGTCTCTGGCAGGTGGGATGGTGTGCAGGAGGCTCGTCCTGCGGGGTGAGGCGAGGTGAGGTGAGACAGGGCGGGTGTGCCATTGTTGCAGTGCAAGGCAAGGCAGGGGCTGGGGCAGCTGGTCCCTGACACCATTGGCCCCCACACACAGAGGCCAGCGAGTGCATAGGGGCTGACAGTGTACATCAGCAGCCACAGCCTGCCGGCCCCTCAACCGGCACACTCTGGGGCTCCACAGCCCGCCGCCAGCAGTTCAGAGAAGCCACCTCTGAGCTGGATGGCCAGCTGACAGCTGAGGAGGCGATGCAGTGGGTCGTGCTCGGGAAAAGGAGAGCATGCGAGGTAGGAGGGATGGGATGGGGGGAAGGAAACCAGCCATGCTGGGATGCATCCGGCCACGTGGGACCTCGATGAGTTAGCGGGCAGCTGGTTAAAGAGGGACGGTTGCCATCTCCGGGGCATGGCACGTGTGCCCACAGAGAGGGCTCTGAGTGCCATAGGTTCGCCACCACTGTTCTAGTAGATCCCTCAAGTCTAACCTGTAGACATAGTCCCCAGAGGAACATTCCCATATATATATATCTGAAGAATGGAAAAAATAAGAACAAGAATGTCCTTTTCTTTGCTGTGCCCTTTTTTCAGCTTAGCTGGCTTCTCACTCATTTGTCTATTATTCTTTCGATGTTCATATTTTATAAAATGATATCTTAATGCTTTCTCCTGCTCTTATAGGTTCCCATTAAAGTGAATGCAGGATAGAATAAGTCTATACTTCACATATACCCCTTGAATTGTTTCTGCCTTTATTTATTCATGTGGTAGCATTATGTGATTTATATCTCTATCTACAATCAAATGTCTTCTAGCTAAGAGTTCTGATATTTCTTCCAATACATCTGAGTAGTACCAGTTTGGGGAAAACTTTCTTAGAAGTATCCAGAATCATCAAATAAGTAAAATGTATAGCTCCTTCTTAATAAGGAGCTGATGGGCAAATCGATTGGTCTTGAATAGGTGGGATGATTTCTTAATTATAAATAAGGGAGTGAAAGCTAAACTAAAAATATCAGAATGATTACCCTTATTTTAAAAACAGAACAACTTTTCATTTTATAATCTCTTTTTCTACTTCAGCTGCAACTAATATGAAATGGATTGAAGCTAAAATGAAAGTAAGTTTTCTATATATCTTTCTGTTTCTAATAATCTGTTTAGATTGTTTAGAATTTGTGTGGTTTTTAAAATGATCTATTCGCAAAATTATAAATCCGCTTTAAATTAGAATACAGAATTCCATTGGCTTGGATCTTTGTGTTTCCACGAATGAAGTGTTTTAATTCTGCCCATAAGAAGCTCCTGCAAATAAATTTATTTTATTATTTATTTATTTATTTATTATTTGAATTTATATCCCGCCCTTCTCCTTGCGGACTCAGGGCGGCTGACAATCAATTAAAAACACCACTAACAATCACAAGTTAAAATTAATTAAAATGAAATATTTAAATTGTCTAATTAAAAAGTAATTAAAAACCCCTCTAAAAACCCCTCTTAAAAATTATCCTAGGCCAGTCC